AAAAAAAAAGAAGATTAAAAACAAAAAAAGAAAAAAAAAAGAAGTTGAAAAGTCAACAAACAATGACGATTGAAGAGATAGAGAAAGAATTATATTATAATAAGTCATATCATGAAATTACAAATGAAAGTTTTAAAATGATTTGTCCTAATGAAATAAGTTATAAAAACTTTGCAATTAAATATTATTGTAAGAATCAATTTAAATATAATATTAAAATTGGTAAAATTTGTCAATTAAATGAAGAGAAGTATTATAATAAATTAATGGAATATAGTCTTCAAAAGATGATGCCTTATCCATATCATTTAATTGATATTGGATTTTTTAATTCAATAAACCATTCTGATAAACTTAACCCACCAAAATATTATGCTCAATTAATTAAAAAATTATTAAATGAAGGACTTCCATTTGATAGATTACCAGCATTTACTGCTCGTGATGTTTTTAGGTTTCTTGGTGTTTCGAGGAATCAATTTACTGAAATAGCAAATAGATATAAGTCAGAAAAAAGAAAAGTTTGTTTTATTTTAGTTTAATTGAGTTGGTTTTAAAATGAAAATAAAGATAAATACGAGGAATTAATAATTAATTAATCATTAGCTATTGTCAAGAAAATTTCCACTTAATTTTGAAGTGAAACAACCAAGTTTTGTTATTTCCTTTTTAATATTAGAAGAGAATAATTATTTGAAATAAACTAATTCTTGAAATAGATTGTCAACCATGGTGGATAATAAGAACATATTCAAATAATAATGAAGGAAAATTAACTACTACTGAAAAATGTATAAAAGATTGTTTAGATAAAGAAATATATTTATCAAATGTATTTATTATTATTCCAGTTGAAGAAAAAGATTCATTTATACCAATTATTCATGATAATATTATTATTACAAGAACAACAAAAATGGAATATATTTATTATCGTATTTTATTACTCATAGATGATAGACTTACTATTAAAGATCTTATGTCAATTCTTATTGATCCAAACGATCCTTTAATATTACAAAAGAAGGAAGAAATCATTAAAGCAATATCTTATTTAGTTCGTCTTAATAGATTAAATAAAGTTGAAATTAGAGATATTCAATGTAATGGAATAATACCAACACCTAGAATAAACCAACAAATAAAGAAAAGAGTTTGTTTTATTGTAGATGAAGCAGTGGTTTCTACTTTAATGACTGGAATTACCAAAACAGATGATATCAAAAGAATTGTAGTTCATCTTTTTGAAACAGGAAGACTTACTAATGATCAAGTATATGCACTTATATGTCTTATTGAACTTCTTAAAACACAACCATGTGCAAAAGATTCAAGAGCACATTATAAAAAATTTTTTAATGTTGCTAATTCATTAGTAAATATAATAAAATCATTACAACAATTAATTTGTAATGAAGAAGTATTTGGATTATGTGATGGAATTGAAATAATAAAAATGGAATGTTTAAAATATTTAACTGAAAAAGAAAAAGAAAATTATAGAATGAAATATACAAGTGCATTAATTGGTTCTAATAGTAAAATTATATCATGTCAACATACTCCATTCTCTCCTCAATTAATACCACATTCTGTTTTTTCTAGTTATTTATTTACAATATTTTTAAATTATAGTTATAATAGTGGAATTTCTACTTTAATTCTTCCTAAAGGATCATTTCTTCAATCACTTCCAAATCAATTTCATCAATTTAATTTCATTCTTTCAACTACTTTTACACATCGTCAAGATATTGTTTCTACTTCAAATGCATTACTTTTTTTAAATGAAACATTAAAATCACAACCAATTATTATTCATGGTTTACAATTTAATAAGCCTCATTATGAAAATATTATTTTCCCTATTGAATTCTCTCAAAGTCCATTAAAAAAACATCCTCTTATTCAAAAATTATCATCAGACCTTACTTTATCAAAGTTTGTTGGAAAAATAGTTTTAATTAATACAACAGAAAATGACTTTGATCTTAATAAATTTGATAATTGGGAATTCTTCGATATTGTTTTTGGTATTCCAATGGATTGTTATGATGAAAATCAACAATGTGTCAATGCTTTACCATCACTTTTAATTGAAAATAGTAAGGAAGAAATGTGGGAGACTTCTTCTGATATTGTGCAAGTATTCTTTCAATTTCTTTCTAAGAATGGGTTTGATTATAATTCATTGAACAATCAGTATATTTTGAAAGAAGATATGTTATTATATCCTTCTCAACCTATTCTTTTTGAAAAAAAAAACAATTAATTAAATAATTTATCATATATTCTTCTTATATTTTTAATGTCTTCTTTGTAATAGAGATTAGTATTGAATTGGTTATTTCTAGTAATGAATAGAACTTAACAATAAAATAATAACGATAATGTAAGAATGATGACTTTCAACTAACAAAAAGTAATTTGATTTATGTCTAATTATTAAATAAAACAATAATAATGATATTGAAGTGGATGAAAATGAACAAATAAATGAAGAGCATTTAAATACTCTTTAAGTAGTTAATGAGATGAAAATGCTTTAATTAATGAATAATGATAAAATATAAACATGAACAAATTCTTATGACTATCATTTATTCATGAATCAATAATTTTTGTTGATGGTTCACATTTTATTAATTAATTCAAATAAAAGCTAATTTTTATTCTTCACTCATGTTATTCATTCATTCTCTTCATAAATTAATTGTTGTTTTGTCTGTTTGTTAATTAAATATTCTATCATTTATCAATTTCATTTCATTGTTATAAGAAAAACAATAAAATGAATTTAAATGGTAGTATTTC